TGAAGAGAACCTCAGTCTCCCTCCTATAAGGGTCAGTCACAGTCAAGGTTGCTGTCTACCCTGAATGAAAGGACAATCCAATGGGAGAAAACAGTGTTACTCTTTTGCAAAAAAAACCTAGCTGACACGAGCAGCGTGACTAGAAGCAAGCAACGAAGGGATAACATCACAGAATAGCCTATATTTGAACTGCCACTAAGAAAAAAAAAAAAACCCTTCATTTTACATATATTGCTGTCATCCCTGAAGAGTAAGAAAAAAAAAATTGAAAGAGATATCCCGTCATAAGCCAAGTTCAGTTTTAGTAACAGAGCTGCCCGATTTTCGTACTATGGTTACGTTCTCAATTAAATCAAGCTGTATATAAAGAAAATAGCCAACTTTCAACTGAAGGAAGGCAAAACAAAATCAGTATTTTAGCCAAAATGTTTCACAAAAGGCAGGTGTGCCTATGCCCTCAGACGAAAAGCCATTCTTTTCTCGTGTATTCTGTAAAGTTACAAAACGCCCCCCCCCCCACACACACACACACTTTTACTCTTTAGTTCAGTAGTTTACAGTTAGCGGGGATTTTTGATCTGCAAGAGCTGCCTTTGTAAATGACAAACTATCAGGAAACAAAATAAAAGTGTTACAAATGGCCAACAATTTCAAAGTGACATGAATCGGAAACACTTGTGCACTATAAGCACAAGAATTTCTCAATTTGGCACAGGAAGTCCTTAAAAATACATTGGAATAACAGTGATTTAATCTCGTGGTTTGAGTTTCTGGGCATGCTCAATCCAGTGATCCAACATTACAAGAAAACAAGCAAAAAGAAAAAAAAAAAAATAAAGCTCTATTCATCAGTAGAAGACATTGTGAATTCTGTTCCCTTCAGAAAGGGAACATTGATTTTTCTAAAACTCTGCGTCCAGCAGGCGCATTCCTTGAATTCAGCATCAACAGTAAGAAATTCTGCTTGCCTGTACAATCAGAGTTTAGTAGGTTAAAAACACTTTTACAATGCAGGTGCATGCATGAAGCAGTAGTTTTAATGTTAGCTTCAGCAATTCAACTTTGCACTGATTTCGCTGATAGCATGGCAGGCAGTTCACATCCATGCTGTTCTCACAGGCAACCCAAACAAATCAGCCGTTAAGGTCGTTCACTCTTGTGTGGCTACTACGAGACTATTCCCATTTCTGCAGTTCAGCGGTTTTGCCCAGTCAAACGTCAAAGTGTTTATATGACAAGCAAAGGTGCTTCTGCCACTCACCATTAAGGTTTTTCCTGATAGTCTTAATTTCATTACTCCTACTTCAATCCCTTGTTCCATACTAAATTCTTCCTCCTCCCGCCATAAAGCTTGTTTAGCCATTAACTACTCTACACACGAAGAGGTGTTTAACCTGTTGGACAAGTGATTCAGTGTCAGATGGCAAGCAGCTATTTAATGTTCTACCCGTTATACCCAAGAAGCAAACAACAACTTCGTCCCAGCAAGTCTTACTTCTAGCAAAACAGTAATACAGGTACCAAAAACATAAGGCAGTTTTTCTGTCACCGCAAATACCTTCATGACGAATATCTAAACTGTCAGAGCATTTTCCATACAATGTCACTGTCAGACACTTCTAAAGGTACACTGGTAAAAAAAAGTATCCCTGACAAAAGGAGTGATGGGATACAGATTTTCATATCATCTTAAATATAAGTATACTTTGAAGCCATTGTCAAAAGAGAAAAGATAGGCTGCTCAAAGTCATGTAGCCCACAATGTTTTGTGCAATCAAACTACAGTTAACAGTTCAATATAACTGCAATACTTCATAACTATTCATTGCAACTAGTCTTCAGAGTAAGAGGGCTACACAAAAGAACATTCAGCATATTTTTAAAAAGTGTAAAAGAAATACATTTCATTAACTTCCAGGGACACAAATGAAGAGGGAGCCTCCTCACTCCCTGCTCTTTTCATCATCGCTTTGCAACAGAGATACATTGTTAACTAGAAAGCTATATAGTTAATTTTCAGATGATTAATACTTGGAACAATTTAGGAAATTAGGCAGCACAGTTTGGAAACCAGCATTTAAAAAGAAAAAAAGAAATGTCAAAGCTAGCAAACTGCACCTTCATAGAGCCCCTGCCATATGAGCGATCAATTCTGGACATAAGTCAGTGCCCACTTCCGTCAGACAGCACCTACCAATCGACTTCACAATATTCTTGTAATTTAAATAATTGCTTATGCTGTAGAACAGCCAGGGAGACCAGAGAGAAAATGATAAGAGTTCAGCCCAGTCCAACAAAAGATCACAGCAAGGGAAAACAGAAACCAGATAGTCTGAGTTCAAGTCTCTCAGCTTTGAATGAGCAAGTCTTGCTTAAACCACTGAACGTTTTTCAAAGATCAAAAAAGCACTTTTGGTTGCAAGGGGCACCTGGTGTATGACACTAGTCAGTGTTCCATTGTAACAGGGAAGCGTGTTTTTACTTCCTACTACATGTAAGTATGTAATTATAAGTAAATACAAAGCTGGAAGAGTATACAGCCAGGCAAAGGGACCACATGCACTTGTAACCCACTGTTTGGTTCTGGACACATTACACCTGATTTAAGACAGCAAAACTAAAAATGACAACAAATGAGTCCCTTGCGCATTCATTTTGGGTACTATACATCAATAGCTGAAATATATTAACAGAACCACTCAAGTAAAAGTGTGCACATTCACTGAAAAACATGCTGATTTCCAAACTGTATTTTACAGATTCCAATCTTTGAAATACATCACTGAGCTAAGCCTCAGGACCTCTTATACAAAGTACAAATTGTGTTCTCATTAACAGCTATCTGTGAATGAAATTTCATGGAATATTCCAACCATTATTTAAATGCAGCATTAAAAGAAACAGAATTTGCCTGAAAAGCCTCTCACCTCAGTGTCCCAAGAGTCCTGAAGAACAGTATTTCTGGTACTACGCTTTGTCTGGGGAATGTGACTGTCATCTTCGTTACCATTCCGCCTCCTCTTCCTGCAGGAAATTATGGTAGAAAGGAGGGGAAAAAAATATTAGCAGCCCCCTGATTTGCCTTGTACTTTGTTTTCTAAAAGTAAGTCTGCAATTAAAGTACGAAAACTTGACAAATTAATGAAGGATCCTTCTAAACCTTTAATCTACTATGGACTTTCATATTCTCTTTGTAGTTGTTCTCTACAGAGTAGAAAGAAAGCTATGACTTTTCTCACAAAGGAGCCAGGTTGAAGTTTTCATATCACTTTAAGGGACATGGATGCATATCTGCCTTCAAAATTAGTGATAAGTATCTTTCTAAATAAACTCCTTTGATAATTCTCAGCCTTGCCACTGCTCAGTACTCAGACACCTCTAAAAATACGCCTGGGGTTTTGAATGACATCTGACAGGCTAAGAAAAGCACTCAGGAAGAGTGGCAGTAACTACATTTTCAATAAATACTCAATTAAGTTCATCTTGTTTACACGAGTCTACAATTACTGTCTACGATGATTTCCTTCACTCTCTCAATTCTCACAGCATTTGAAGTCGTCACATTCCTCAGCAACGTTATTCTCGATGGTGAATGAAAGCTTTGCAATTAAGGTGTTGGAAAACACCACATAAAAGGCCAATCCTTCACTGTTTCAGATGTGTCTGCCGTCCTCTTATGACATCAGTGCTGCTTCATAGCAACTTAGCAATAACAGCAGCTTAAAATTGTTGTAAACTGATGTCTCTCAGTGTTAACAGAAGTTTAATATTAGTATCAAATCTTATCCCACTGTACAAACGCCACAGAGCTATGGACTTCAGTATGTTGCGCACTACACAAAATCTAGAAAGGAGCTATTTTGGTTTTGAAAATATACATGAACACTAAACTGACTCAGATAAGATATTGATAGCTGAACTTTTTTTTACAGAACAGCTACAGTAGCAGCCTCAGCTGCCAGTATTTGGTCAATGCCTACAGGCCAGGAGCCACCTCCTCCCTCTGCCACCCCTGCAGTGCCCGCTACAGCCTCTCCCTGTCCTAGGAGCAGCCCTGCCA